GGCTTTGAGCCTGGTTCTCTACCCAGTATACCACAGCTGACCCACAATGCTTCACCCCAAAACATCACTGAAGCATTTCAGAGAAAATGCACAGAAGAAAACAAAAGGCATTTCAGAAGGAAAAACAGACAACCAAGACAGCTTTTAAAGTAACAAATCAAAGTTGTTATACACTTAAAAAAATAAAAGCAAGTTGTATGTAATAAATATTGTTGGTGTTATATACAACCATTTTTTTTCTGTTCAACTTTGGATATGGAGATACCCATTTTAAAAAAATACAGAATAAAAGTTATATACATTATATAAAGTTTTATTCCACGTATATGTGTATGTATATATGTATATTACATATGTGCGTGTATGTGTGTATACACACACACACACACACACACACATATATATATTTAACAGGGTTGGCGTCCTAGTGCTTTACCCAAACCGTAGTACTGTAGGGAAGTACCATAGTCTCACCTGGCATACATCTTTTAGAACAGGTTATTTCTGCAAGCTACAGACATCCATCTTCTGTCATGTTGGCTTAGTGTGAATTTCGGAGAATAACATTCTGTGACTTTGTCCCTGCAATCTGGAGGTATGCCTTGTGTGAATCCACCAGTCACACACACACACACACACACACATGTGTATATACACGCATACATACATATACACACACACATATACTATACACATGTGTATTATAGAACATATATAACATATATTATATACAACATATAACATATATTATATATACAGCATATATACATATACATATCTATCTATCTAAAACCTTCTAGAATCATCAGTACTTTTTGGAACCATGTTGGAACAAAGTTTTAAGTCTTAGTAGCTAGAAATGTTTCATGTTAGATCAAATTTGTCAGGACAGAAAAGCACAAGAGAGATGAGGAAGGTTGTACAATCTCCTTCTAGAGAAGATATTTAAAGAGAACAGATTTCTACCTGCCTGGACCTTTAGGATATGGTCCTATTTGAAGACAGAAAAGTAGACCAAGTGACTTCAGGGACTGTAGGAAAATAATCAACTTCATCCATTGATAATAGTCTATCTGAGTCTCATCAAAGGATTTTAGCTACATATTGATGTACCTGCTGTCTCCCTTGGTTAGATTTTAAGCTCCCTGAGGGCAAGAACTATTTCACTTTTTTTCTTTGCATCCTCAGAGCCTGAGTATGGGGCACAGACATTCTTGCTGTTTGGTTGAGTTGAGAGTTTGTTAAAATATCTTATCTGATACTGCAGTAAAATGTTAAATATAGTACTAGTCTATCTTATGATCAGTTTTTTAGAGAATTCATAGGAAGTATGGAGTTCAAGGAGGAGAAAAATGTGGGCTTGTAAAAGATGACCAATTGTTTCTGAAAGTTAGTAAGAGAGTAGGCCATAAAGAAAGTGAGATACAAAGGATCCTTGACTTCATTAAGGTACAATAGAGATATGAACTGGACCTGTGATTTCACTGGTACAGGTAACTCCCTGGTGAGAAATTCTCTCAACCAATACAGGCTTACACATCCTCTACAAGAGATGGTCTCAGATACATGTCTGGAGCACTGGGCAGTTAAGTATCTTGCCGTATGAGTCAGAGGCAGGACTGGAATCCAGAGCTTCCTGGTTCTGAGGCTGTCTCTTGATCCATTATGCTGCCCCTTGATCTACTATCAAGTGCAATCATACTTGTAAAAAAACAGTGCTTGGCACAGTGCCTGACACAAAACTTGGTGCTATAGAAATGCTTATTCCCTTTCCCCTTATGTCCCACTGCCTCTCAACTAATGGTACCATAAATACCTCATAGATAGGTTCACAAGATCACAATTCTTCACTACAATGAGAGACTTAGGCAGTAATTCAGAGAATTAAATGTGTAGAGGATAAGCCTACCAACCCATAGTACTGAATTCCTCAAACCTCTGTTAAGCAAGGAGCATCTCAGTACAATGAAATAAATAGAGAAAAATGGTGGCTCTTAACTTGCTGAAAGGCCTATGTCCCACACACTCCAGTCTACAAATATTCTTCCTCCTTCCCTTCCGTTCCACTTTCCCATTGCCAGTATGACCTTCCTACAATTCAGCTATAACCAACATCATAATATTCATGGCTATCAAGAAGAGTGTAACAACCAGGATGGGGAAGGGCCTCAAGGCCAGACCATGTGAGGATTGCTTGAAGAAGTGCGGGTGTTTAGTCTGCAAAAGAAATGACTTAGGGAATACAAGTATCGGAAAGGCTGACATGTACAAGAGGGAAGAGAATTATTCTGTTTTGTCTTGGAGGGCAAAAACAGGCAGAAGTTACAAATAGGTAAGTTTAGGCTTTATGCAGTGACAAACATACTAAAAATTAGGGTTGTCCAAAGTGAAGGGGGGCTTTGAGCAGTGGTGAGCTCTACCTGACATCTCACTGGAGCTCTTCAAGAAAACCTTAGATACCCATTTGCTAGGTCTGATGTCACAAGGATTCCTGATCACAAATGGGCTGTCCCCTTCCTGACTCTCGAGATTCTGAGCTTTAAGATAAATACTGAAGACATACTAAGTCCATGCACACCCACACCAGCCCCAACAAAACAAAGCTGGGAGGAGCTCCCCCATCTCCTGTTTACTGTAGAGGAGAAAAGTAGAACTTCCCTTCAGGGAAAGTTAGCCTGTATTGGGAAAGATCACAAGTGAAATATTCTAAAAGGGTAGGAGTGCAGAGTGAAAATAATTCTGTGGTCTTGGGCTTACACTGAAAACATTAAGTTTATGAACTTTAGGCACTACTGATCAAATACTTAAGCCACACAGGCTGGTGGGATTTTTTAGCTCTGGAGATAGCCAGAGGTTTTCCGAAAAGTTCTGAGGTTCCACCTTATTTGATAAATAACTCATTGTCTGTAAAAAAGACAATCCTAAGAGTAAAATATTATGGTGCTGACCTTCCCCTACACATCGCAACCACTTGTTACCTGCTTCTAATGGGGACCATTACTCATTTGAACAAGGCACAAGTGACTGCATTTCAGGACATCACCTTTCTTTGCAAATCCTGACCTAGGAACAAGGGTCTTTTCCTACCTAGGATTACGTCACTGTCATCACTACTAGTTATAAAGTTGTCCATACCATGTTAGAAATCAAAGTATCACAGGCTAAGAGATTGAGTAAAGGACCGTCGAGATGACCTCATCCAACTCAATCATCTGACATCCAAGGAAACCAGGCTCAGAACGGCAGTGACTTGTCTATGACTCCAAGTCTAGTGCTCTCACAGCTCTACCCCGTTGCCTCATACATGCACCCGAGGACATGCCTGCCTGGTTTATCATTTTAGTATCGTGGCTTTAAAAAACATTGACAATATTGATAAAAGACATTAAACTTAAACGCACATACCCATATATTTTCTATGAACTAACATTTTCTTAGGAATTCAGAGGACCCAAAGCTTTCTCCTTCATCCCCATAACTACTCCCAAATTCTGGTAAAGAAGACTTAATTTTGAAAGTATTTCTTTTTTTTATTACATCTTATTGCTTTTTTCAACAAACTCATTTAAAGACGGCACATAACAACCAGTTGCTCAATGAACAAAGCTGTTGTGTTTTCTCCAAATATATGTTGTGATAACATCTATATACACACACACACACACATATATATACATACACAAATATACACAACAGCACACATATGTCCTCTGCAGGTCGAGGAGGGGAAAAAATTGTGAAAGGATTCCACCATTAACATAACATATTAAAACCATCTAAGCTGAACTTAAGTGCCTTCTTCATTCAGCTTTATAGAGAATTTTAAGTAGGAATCAAGTATCGCTTACAACTTTCGACATAGCCGGTAAGACTTAACAAGTCTTCACCAAATAAACAACTTGCTATCTGAGCCAAGAGTACGGTCTGAACCTTTGCCTTCATTCCAAATTTATTTTGCCCCAAAGTCACCATGGCTCCTAATCCCAAGGGTTGAGGAGATCAGAGGATTGAGCCCAGGAAGTCAGGAACCTCACATACCACCCAGTCTAAAGGAAAAAAACTGGAGCTCAGAGAGGGGAAGGAACCTGCTAATCACACAGCAGCCTAAGAGGCACATTTCGGGCTCCAAATCCATGACTCTTTTCACTGCCCCACAGTAGCAAAATTCTTTTTCATCAAAACATTGAACGATTTTCCATGAACATATTTTCTTTCTTCATTTCAGAAAATGTCATTTAGACAAAGACTCATACACACACCCACATACACATCCCCACTCCCACCAAAAAAAGAGTTGGAAAAACCTAAAACAGATCAGGATAAGGAGCCAAAGCCAATTCTGTTAATTGTAATAAAATCAATGGAACAATTATTAGAAACACCTATTTGCCAGAATAAAACCAATCATGAAATCCACCTATCTACAGCAGTCCATCTGCTTAAGGCCATCTCCTAACCAAAGTAATTATTAACCACCACAAGAAATGATAGGCCTTCTCTCTTCTCCTTCACCAGTGATTTTCAAAGAGCACTCCATCCTCCCAACAGCTGCTAACAACATGAGCTGGAAAGTGAAAAGGGTTGTCTTTCCATGAACTTCACTGATTGGGAAGAGAAACAAAACTAGCTATTTGCATTTTTCTACAGTCTTCACAGGCTGCCTCCCTAAAAATCAAAGCAGCAGAAATTGTGAAGGAGGGACAATCCCTTGGTGATGGAGAACTCAGGCAGCAAACAGTACCTCTGAGACAAGAAGTCTCATAAGTCGCTTTCAAAACCATGGTATTCTCCCCAAAGAATAAGAAAATTTCTCCTGAAGAAGACTTCAGAAACTCACACGCCCAAAATACAATTTCAATATTTATTTCATTTGTGAAATAGATTTCTCCTGGCAATGATTTAGTTGCTTTAAAAATAGATTAAATGTTGATTAGCCATAAAAACATGTAACAAGTAATCCATTTGTGTAAGAAAAGTAAATTACATGCATATTCAGCTACCTTGTAGGGTTCCCCAAAAAGACTGAAACCTGAGGCAAAGAGATCTTCATCTGGCTGGACTTCTTGATTTCTCCGTTCCCACTCTTTTCTTTTAAGTGCATTCCGGTCCTGTTCATAGTGACTGGAAAGAAAAGAAAATGACAAACAAAAGACTCATTACTAGTGGAAGTCATTTAAGTTTCCCTAGTTATCAATGAGCACAAAAAAATGTGAAGCCAGACTCCCACAAATTGATATGTAGAAAGAGAATATAATCCTTTTATTTTTTTCCCCACTGGATTTAGGATCCTAGGCACTCTTCAGAATAAAAATAAAAATAATCTTGCATACAAGAAATTGGCCTATTTCAATATAGCTGTGGTCTCTCCTTTGCCCTGCTACGTTACACTGGTATTCCTCCTGAAAAGGGAGATGCTATCTGATTTTCTGCTCCATCACAGCCTTATTCTCCTCTTATAGGCTCAAACTGTAAGAGAAGTGAAGCTTTTTTGGGGGAAGGGGGAAGATGAAATGGGGGAGGATTACACAAAAATAAACCACTTTATTATCAGCACCTTCCTTTTTCCCCTCCTTAAAGTCAGACCAGTCCAAAAGCCTTTTGGGGACTTTCTGGACAAAGCCATGAGGTTGGCTTAGAAGTAACAACTATTAACATGGAAGAGAATATTTCTATTATTTAAAAGACTCAAATGTTTTTAAGGGACAATAGCTTTCTAAAGCCTGAATGTTTCTTGGACCCTCCTGGCATTCAGTGATTTCCTACTGGAAGAAGAATAAAAAAGCTAGGAGCCTTTGAAGATAAATTTAAGTGTTCTGGTTATGCAGGTAGAGAAAGCTTTGCCTGGTTAAAAAATATAACTGCTACTATATTTTAATTATTTTTCTTTCAATGAGAAAGTCCATTTCAACTAGGTCATAGTATTTGAAATCCTTAAGCTAGTTATCAAGTAAAGGTGTTCTTTTGGGGAGGGGGTTGGCTTTGAGCTTTAACCTTAGCACAAACAACAAACAACGAAAACTCAAATAATGGAAGCAATGGTCATTGAGAATGGATAAAGAAACATACCTTCCTCATTTCAGGAGAGAGATAAGGAGCCCCCAGGTAAGGAGGACTAACTAACCCAGGGCCTTGCTATTCCCCCTGAAACTGTTTGTTCTTTATTTTGCATTTGCTTATCTACACACGTGCTGTTGTTGTTGTTGTTGTTGTTTTTCTTGGAGGGAAGAACAGTATCGTTATTGAATGTCTCCCCAGTACCTGGTCCGGTGCCTGGCACCTGGTATGGATGTAAGCAATCCCTGGGGAATTTAATGGAATTGAATTGATGTCTGCAATATGTCATATTCTATAAGAAGTGGTTACTATGTTAGGGGGTTTTGCTTACACTTGTGAAGGTTCTGTTAAAAGGAATGTTCAGTGATGTGGGGATGTCCCTGAGGGATTATTTTTACTAGAGATATTTTCATCTCAATGGTATTCTGTAATAATGATATTTGAACTGCAGAGTCTCTTTTCAGCTCATTTTTTTCTTAATTTGTCATGGTAATCAAAAGAATTTCTTAAGCCCAAGTCTTTTGATGAGTCTCTGGTTCCATACAGTCGTATGTCCTCTTAGAGCGAGTCTACATAATGATACTTACTAGCTGTGTGACCCTTGGTCAAGTCACTTCATCTCTTTGACTCTGTTTCCTCATCTGTAAAATGGGAACAGTACTAGCATCTTTTTCACAAGATGTATTGGAAGGATCAAAAGAGATAAAATACATGAAGTGCTTTGCAAACTATTATTATTGTCATTAATATAATAATTATCAGTTACTCCCTGACCCTGTGAAGCTTCCGTTGTCTCTCCTTGTCCATTTCCCTGTATTTTTATCTATTTTCCTTTTATATGGTCATATAAAAATGATTTGAAAAGCTTCATCTTCTGAATAAATAATCCTTTATTTTGTCCTTGGTGGGGGAGGGTAAATAGCAAGACTTAATGTGATTTCAAGCAAACATGAGTAGAAAGATTTCATGGTATGAATGATGCCAGAGACAGGTGGAGCTACTTATAACTATGCCATAAATGGTAGTGAAGCCTTCTACCCTACCCAGGTGAGAGGCAGCCCTAAGTAAGACTGTCAATCAGAGTTCATCTCAAGTCTAGATACTGGACTCCATCCCACGGGGGCTTGATCATCATCATCAAGTACAGTTTTGAAACCTCTGAAAAGGAACACCAAGTGCCAGGGGTCCAGTTTCTGAGCATTTTACCATATATGCCCACCCATGGAAGGGACAGATGGGGAAACACTAAGGTAGAGTAACATCATCAATTTGTCCAAGTGTGCAATACTCATGAATGGCCTTCAATATCGTCATTCGGTGTTATTCATAACCACAGAGCTGAGGGTTAGAGGAGAGCGGGTTAAAAAGCAATTGCCAACAATAGAAATAGCTGACATTTATAGAGCACTTGGACATTTGAGAAATACAACCACCTGATTACAGACAAAGAAACTCAGGCTCACAAGTGGATCTAGGGTCACAGGATTTATGGGATCATATATTTAGAGCTTGATGGGAGCTTAGAAAGTCACCTCCCATTTTACAGATGAGGAAACTGAGTGCCCAAGATCACATGACCAAGAAATGTCAAGGCAAGACTGAATCCGTGTGTTTCCTTACACTAAGCCCAGTATCCTACTCCTGATTCAGTCCTTCAGAGGAAGTGCTGTTTCAGAGGATCAGTACCTCAAGATTAGAATACCGTTAGGGCAGAAAATTCTGCTCTCCCGTAACAACAAAAAGTGGCATCGCTCCTGAGTAATGAACACAAGATGTCACTTTCCAAGCTGTCTGTTCATTTTGTGTACCTGACAGGCACTGGTGACATGCTGATAGATCACATTTAATTCTCTCACGAGAAGGAGTGAAGCATTTTGGTCTTTCGGTGTACAATCACCTTCCTTTCCCTCCCAGACAGATAATTAAAACCCTGAAGGAAAAAAAGAAAGTGCAAAAGAAGACTCTGTACCTGGTCTAGCATGCATGACCCTTGCTGAGGGAAGCAAGGAAGACCACGGCTGTGCTATCCGCCCACATTTGATAGGTTCAGAGTCTGTGGGCCACATTTTGCATCTGCTAATTAACTACCAAATTCCAGATGACAATCAGAAGAGCAGACTAGAGCCCATGCACACCGATGTTATCTGGTGCAAGCAAAATTGACTGTGACATTTTTCCCTCTTCTCCATATAACAAAGAACAGTTAATTCTCATATCTCTGGTGAGAATGAATTGAATCTCCATAGAGTTCTGCTGCACTTGGAAGATAACCAAACATGTACAACTTTTTTTCCCTCTTTTTGCCCAGCATGAGGCTATAATGAAAGCTTCACATGGCGAGCTATAATGAGGCCTGAACTGCACGGTGATGAGGCTTTTCCAGGGGAGAAAGTCACTGATTTCTGACTGAAGCCACAATTCCGAATTTGAAACACCAGCTAATTAAGACCACAGCTATGTATTTAGCCTCTTGTTATACCTACTGCAGTTTATAATTAGGAGGACCTCTTTATCTACTCAATTAAAGTTCCTACAATCTGGCAGCAGGCTGGGTTTGAACCTGTATGTGCTGCCGAAACCACAGGAAAGCATGTGTATGTCCCGTGATGATCTGACACTGCATGCTTGGTTTCAAAAGGAAAAAGAAAGGCCTTAGAACCACAAAGAAATGTTCAGATCAGAAACGAGAGTTAATAATCAGATTATCAGGCTGACGAGAACAGGATCTGGGACTGAACAGTAGGAAAAACTTGAGAGGTTGAGCAAACAAGCTCATTGGGGTTTTCCTGGCTGGAGAAAAGGATTCAACAATCATTGCAACATCTTGTGATACATTTGATAACTTTTCTTTTGGATCTGATCTACTGAGATCTTTCATGGCAGTGAGGGACCACAATTATGAAAGCCAAGTCAACTTTCATTTAACTAGAGGTCCTTGGTTTTGCCTTTATGATCATCATTTTTCAGTGGTATTGCTTTTTGTGATGACACATTTTCTTATCACATGGGAAAGAAAGGCAGCAGGAATACATAGATCTCAGAGGTGTTTATTTTTGCTCATTTGTTGTTTTGATAAAAGGCTTGAATTTCATCATCTGAGATCTAGCATCTGAGAGAGCAGGTAGGGGTCTTAGCCATAAACTAGTTAAGTCCTCTCACTATAAAAATGGGGAAAGGAAAGCTGAGAGTGGGGACCGAAATTGCCCTAAGGTTAGTCCATTAGAGCCAGAAGTAGAACTCAATACTGAGCACTAGTCCAGAACCAAGTTGACTTATTATCAATGATGTTGCCCATCTCTGGTGTTCTCTCTTTCATACTTTATCCAGATATTAGTGACTCTGCCCTTTTATTATGATCCTCCACCTTAACTTATACATAAATAACCCTCATTTTCATTATCAGAAGTCACACGAGTATTAGCATGACAGTAAAACCAAAGGAACTTTTATTGAGCCATTATATTAAGTTGAATTCTTTTCTCTTCATCACTTCACTGTGTTAGCTCACCTAAAATTACTGGTTGGTCAGTAAGTTGGACATTTAAAAACCCTGACTGTCAGAGCCCAAAGAAATATCCGGGATCAAGTCCAGCTCCTTTAAAGGAGTCCATGCCTTCACATGAGGAAAGCAAGCCCAAGCAAAGTCAGGACAAGGACGCACCTCTCCTATCTGTCTCTTTCCTTCTCACCTGTGCCTTCTGGAATCCCTAGTTTCCTTCCAAACTCAATTCAAGCATTCACCTTCTAGAGGGCGACCCCACAGTTCAAGAGGCACTGAAGGGGTCACAAGTGGGAAAAGTTTAAGAAGCCCTGTCCTAGAAGAAACCTTTCCCAATCCTACCCACCTGCAAACACCCTCTCCCACAAATTACCTTTTATCTACTGTGAATATATTTGGCATATATTTATACACGTACGTGGTATCTCTCCAGTAGAATTTAAGCTTCTCGAGGGAAGATACTGCTTCAGTTTTCTCTTTGCATTCTCCACACACAACAGGTACATATAAGTGCTTGTTGATTTATTGGTTGGTTCCCACTAACACCAGGCTGCTTCCCACAGTCTTG